GGCAGAATAATAGTTGTCTTATTTGCCTCAGGGACAGCTTTGCATCTTTGAGGTTTTCCAAACTAGGTGGTACCCAGGTCACTGGCATAATCTGGGAAATTCCTTCTTCTTCAGCCCTGGTGTGTTCAGGAGCAACTCAGTTTGCACAAAGTCACACAGCTTAGCCAGGATGTAAATCTAAGCAGTCTAATTCCAGAACCCTTCACCCTCATCTGTGTACAGCCTTTCTGATTGCTTTAGGCAGTTACTTGTCCCTCTTCTGTGCTCCCTCACCTGCCCCTGTACCATTTCCTTTCAAGACATTATTCACAAGTACCGGTTGCTCTTCTAAAAACTGAGCTCTTTGAGGGTAGGAACTGGGTTGTTACGAACAGGTGGTCAGTAGATGTTAAATGGATGAGTGGACATTGGCAGTAAGATTCTAGAACTGATTCTGGCAGGGGAGATGATTCTCTTTGTGAAACTAGCCTGGGAAGGGTTGTGAGAAGCCAAGATCTCTTTTCCTATTCCCTATCCTGCCAGAGTGTGGCAGCTTCTCAGTAATGGCTGTACTTGCCATGTTTGGACACCAGGGAGCTCCACAGATAACACAGCCCAGATTCAGAGATTCTTAAATTTTTCTGAGCCAGAGATTTAGGACTCTATTACACTTCTGCTGAAGACTCTCTCACTTTCTAAATGAAAGCTATTGGTATCCAGAAACCCTGTAATATACAGGAAGGATAGCTAGGCTGCTGTACAGAACACACATCATTCATTATTCACTTTTTTTTTTTATATATATTTTATTGATTTTTTACAGAGAGGAAGGGAGAGAGATAGAGAGTTAGAAACATCGATGAGAGAGAAACATCGATCAGCTGCCTCCTGCACATCTCCTACTAGGGATGTGCCCGCAACCCAGGTACATGCCCTTGACCGGAATCGAACCCGGGACCCTTCAGTCCGCAGGCCGACGCTCTATCCACTGAGCCAAACCGGTTTCGGCCATTATTCACTTTTATTAAGTACCAGGTAAATACCTGGAAGAACATAAAGATGAATGAAACAGGGTCCTGGATGAGCTCAGGGGCTAATGGGGAAAATAGATACTTATTAGGTAATCACAATCCAGTTATATAAGTACTCTAAGCGATGTATCAGAGACAGGACAAGTCAGGGAAGGTACTGGGTCTTTTTTTTTTTTTTTTTTTTTCTTCTAATAACTTCTGGTTCATGCTAGGCTGTCACCATTGGTCAAAGCATGAATGCTTTTATTTCACTTGAGCTGAAACTTTTAGGATGGAGAGGAAATCCCAAAGGAGAAAGAGAGCTTGGTGTGGTTGCCATGTCATCTTCTCAGCCTCAGTTTGTTCATTTGTAAAATGAGTACTGTATAGCTTGTCTTATCTAGCAGAGTTCTTGTGAGGGAGGAAATGAGATAATAGATATGAAAGCTCTTGAAAATTATGGAATAGAGGCACGAGAATTGTTTATCCAGTTTGATTTAACCAATGTCTGTAGGATATCTATTATGAGCAAAGCCTGAAGGGTGATTCAAGGGAGATACACCTGGCACATGTTAAAGGCTTAGTGTATAGGTTGTAAAAAGACAGATCACAAATAAAAAACTCTTTTCTTGCAGAGGCTATAATCACATGAGGATCCAATATAAGAGCTATTGAGTTGAGAGTCACAGCTTCTGAGCCAGGAATATCCATGAGGTCTCAGGATGTTCCTATATTGTACCAGTAAAATTTTAAAGCTGAACTGGATCTATAATCAGGTATCTACTTATCCTATAGTTGGGGAGACAGATCCAGAGAGGAACTGGATTTTCTGTTGTCACATCATGATTTTGGAGGCAGAGAAGAGATCAGAATGTTCCTTCTGTTGTCAGACCATGTTTTTGGCTCCCAGACACTATTTTTCATTTTGGTAAAATACACATAATATTAAAATTTACCATCTTAACCATTTTTAAATGTACAGTTCAGTCATGTTAGCGACATTCACATTGTTTTGCAACCTATCTCTAGAACTCTTTTCATCTTGCAAAACTGGAACTATATCCATTAAACAATTCCCTATGCTCCCCAGCCCCCAACCCTTGGCAACTACTGTCCTACTTTCTGTATCTGTGAATTTTACTATTCTAGTTACCTTGTATAAGTGGGATCATATAGTTATCTGTCTTTTGTGATTGGCTTATTTCATTTAGCATAATGTCCTCAAGGTTCATCTATATAGTAGCAAGTAGAATTTCCTTCTTTTTAAAGGCTGAATAATATTCTATTGTATGTATATACCACGTTTTAAAAATCCATTCATCTGTCTGTAGGCACTTGGGTTGCTTCTACCTCTTGGCTATTGTGAATAGCTTATAGCTGCTATGAAAATGGGTATACAAATACACTTTTGAGACTCTGTTTTTAATTTTTGGGGCGTTATATGCACAGAAGTGGAGTTATTGGATCATATGGTAATTCTATTTTTTAATTCCCAGACACCATTTTAACCTCACAGGAAATGCAACAGGTTCTAAAAGATTCAAGATATTGATGTGAAATGGTAATAGACCCTTACTTCCTGCCTCTAGGCTCTTTGTATCAAATGGGTTATGAGCCCATAACCCCAAAGAAATCATGTGGCAGCTAAGAGAAATGATGCGGTTGAATTTAAAGGAAGTTGTAAGCATGCTTTCCTTTCCTTTATTCTTGTGTGTTCTTGTAGACAAATGAGTGAACAGGCAGATGGGTTGGCTTACACAGATGTGACAAACGAGCAGTCTGAGTGATTCAGGCTGCAGATGTGTTTTGTGTGGCTTACACTTTTAAAAATGAGTTGCTAATACTAAAAAAAAGGGGGACATATAAAAAATCCGGTTTTTCATCTTCTCTTAAAGATGATCCAGCAATACCGAGTCTACCTTTCTGCCTGCTTTCCTGCGTGCCACGCTCCCCACAGCTTACTATACTTTCACCTACTCCTCTCAACTGTGTTACCTATCTGCCGGCTTTTCCATTTGAGTTTAAAACCCTGGCTCAGCCCTAGCTGGCTTGACTCAGTGGATAGAGCGTCCACTGAAAGGTCCCAGGTTCAATTCTGGCCAAGGGCACATGTCTGGGTTGCAGGCTTGATCCCCAGTAGGGGGTGTGCAGGAGGCAGCCCATCAATGATCCTCTCTCATCATTGATCTTTCTATTTCTCTCTTTCTCCCTTCCTCTCTGAAATCAATAAAGAAATATATATTAAAGACCCTGGCTCAGAGCATAGGTCTACTAGAACCTAGGTCAGGGGCTCATTTTCTGTTCTGGCCAATTTCCCAGCACACAGTTGTTACTCAATAAATATTTGAGTGATCATATGGATTAACTCATGTCAACTTACTATGTGCAGGGCCCTATGAATGCATCCTTTTCCTCAGAAATGAATAAGGCATAGCCCTTGAGTTCTGAAAACTCACACTCTTATGGGTTAGGGGGAGGCAGACATGTGCATGGCCCAATTCTGGATTAGAGGGAATGGTCAGAGTTAAGAGTCTCAGAAAAGGAGACCTTGAACTCTATCTATGAGAGGCCAGCTACATGAGGAGTTGGAGGATGGGAGGGAGTGTCTCAGAGAGAAGCAACAGCGCATACCAATGACTTAGGTTCCATGTGTTTGAGGAACTTAAACAAGGTCAGTGTGACTGGAGCTTAGGGAGAGTGGTAGCAGATGACGTTAGATATGTATTTTTATATCAACAATCTAACCCTTAAGCCAGGCAGCTGTTGGGCAAATCCGTGTTCCAGGTTTGGTGGGCTTGCTCAGAACAGGTAGTTAGCTTACCACTGTCAGTCAGAGGAGGGACTGGTCCTAATTCCTTCACCCGCCTCTGGTGCCAAGGACAGGGTAGGGCACAGAGCAGGTTTCTGTAAAGATTTGCTGACAGCATACTTGAGAAGAGAACAGGAAGTGCAGGCTCTGTTAAAGGAGGCCCAGGAGCAGCTCTCCCTTCACTGGGGCACTCATTCTCAGGTCCCTAACACCTCCTTCAAGTGACAAAGAGAGCTGGGAGTGTGAGGTGTGGGCAAGAACCAGCTACAGGCCCGACCCGCAAAAACCTCAAAGGGGAGGGGACTTAAGAGGCAGGTAGGAAAGTGAAGGGAGGGCATCCTACTTAGGTTGGATGAGGTGGGGAGGGGTCTGGACGGCCGACTGGGCTCTTTAGCCGAGACTTAAGGGATGTGTAGGGCAGTTTTCCCTTGAGTGATGTGGACTTTTCGTTTTCTGGCAGTTCCTAATGGGCCTCCCCTGGGGCGGGTCCTTGCTTTACTCCCCAACCCTCTGCAAAGGGGCAGGGCCTCCCAGGAGCTCGTGTTCTATCGGCAGTACCCAGATTTGCCCGCCAGGGGCCGCTACACACGGGTGACGAAGCGCGCGGGTTCCTAAGCTGCAGAGAGGCGGAAGCCGATTGGCTGCGCGGCGCGGCGGAGGGCGGAGCTTAGGAAGCCGGTTCTGAGTAGGGGGCTGGGAGCGCACCCCGGGCCAAACCGGGCCGGGCCGTTGTCGCCTCGAGCAGCCCCGGGCGGCAATCTTTTGTGCCGCGGGCCTCTGTCCAGCCCGGCTCTGGAGCTGAGGCGAGTGGAGCAGCACTGAGGCCCGGAGACCCAGGCAGGGCAGCTCCTGCCGCCTTCGTCGTCGCTGCCGCCGCAGGCCTGGGTTACCTGAGCCACTGCGTGTCAGGGGCCCGTCCGCCCGTTCGCGGACGGTTAGCGCGGGAGAGACTCTCGTCGGGGAAAGGGAGGCCGGCACCCGACCCTTGGCGCGGGAGAGGGGTCCCCGCGGAGACTAGCGCGGGCCGGGGGCCAGGGGATCCCGCCGGGGGCTAGGGGCGCCCGGTGGGTGCCGCCAACAGGTTATTCCGGGATAAACCGGGCGCAGGGGCGGGCCGGGCTTCGCAGGGGGCCGGGCGGCGCGGGGCGGGCCAGTGGGAGAGCACGCCCCCGCCCGCCCGGGCCCGCCCCGCGCCGCCCGCCCGCCCGCCGGGGAGCCGCTGTCCCGGGCCTGGCCCGTGCGCGTCCGCCTGCTGAACCTGCGCTCAGCCGGCCGCCTGGGCACGGGACTGGGCGGGGGCACTGACCTCGGCCTCGGAGGCCTGGGATCCCGGCGCCGCCCGCGCCCGCGGGGGCCTCCTCGCTCCGGAGCCGGTGCTGCTCGCCCCTCCACGGCGGGGCGAGGCCAGGTGCCCCCCCCTCCCCGCGCTTCTCCCCCTCCACCCCCCTGCTCGCGGGAGATTCCGCCCGCCCGCTCCCTCCCTCAGGGGTGTAGCCCGCTGCGGAGCTGACCGCGCGGCCGGCCCGGCAGCCACCCCGTCCAAACTCTCCGGAAGCGGCCCGGGGACACTGGGCGCTCAGGCCGCCCCAACTCCGGCGGACCCACTGTCGGACCGGAGGCGACGGCCCTCCTACCGAGCCCAAACTTGGAGCCCTTGACCTTTGGGCTGTCGGAGGAGGCCGGCCCCCGAGTGCCTGGACAGCTGCGGCGCCTCGAGGGCACCCTGCCTGGAGTTCCAGGACTCACGGCCGCGCTCCCGGCCTCCCCTCGGGGGTCCCGCGGTGTCCGCGTCGGGCGCCTGCTGACGGAGACCCCGGGCCATGGGTCTGTGCGCGCGCCTGGCCCTGTGGCTCCTCTGGGGGCTCCTCCTGCACCATGGCCAGAGCCTCAGCCACATCCACAGCGAGAAGGCGACGGCAGCCGGCTCGGGGGCCAATAGCGAGGAGTCCACGGCGGAAGGTAAGGCTTTGCCACGGGCCGGGCCGGGCCGGGGGCTTTGACTCGGAACCCAGGCGCCCACATGGGCAAGTTGAACTCGTCTTCTCCATGTGCCGTGGGATGGAGGACTCACACAGGGGCACTGCCGGTTCCCAGGAGTCCAAGGAGTTCTTCCCGTTCGGGAGACCTGGCTAAGGGGTTTTTCTCTCTTGCACCACTTTCCTCATCCCCCCCCCTCAGGATGTCTTTTGTGGGCAGTGAGGAGAGGTCTGCCTCTGGGGCCCCCTTGGCCTTTCGGATCCGCAAGCCAGGCCCCCTTCCTAGAGCTGCTTGTTCAGGAAGAGTGGCCAGGGCCCATAAGTCGATCGCTGTTGGCTTCTTCAGCACTTGGCAACCCGGGGGAGGTGGAGGCTACTTGGGTTGGGCAGTCAGGGCTAGGCCAGCTCCATTGGTATGATCAGGTGTGCCTTCCTATTCCAGCAAGTGTGGGAACCCCAGGTCCTCCCTTCCCTTAGGTAATCTGCTGGGTATTAGCTGTGACACACAGGGCACTTCCTTAGATGGAATTTTTAAAAATCTGTTTCCCACAAGGGCGTTCAATGGCCTTTCCTCAACGCGGGCACCATGTCTCGTCTGGGACCACTTGTTGACCTCTGTTTCTTCTGAGGGATGAGGGTGGGGATTCTGATGTTTGTTCTGTCCTGGTTTCTCCTATGTACTCACGGAGCCTGGTCAGAGAGCAGGAGCCTTGCTGGTGTTTTGGTGCAGAATAGAAGAGCCCTTTTTAAAATGCATTTGTTTTATACAAGGGTTAGAAGGAATTCTGTGTTCTTTCTCTGTTGCTCTCACGGTGTTCTGCCCAAAGCAGTGGGCTGCAGAATGGGGATAGTTGATAGCTGGGTCCTTTCTGAGGTGGGCAAGCTCCAGTGAGAGGATGCTCAGTGGATAACCATCGATACAAGGAGGAAAAGGGAACAGGGCATGGTGGCCGGGAAGTTTCACGGATGCATTCAGAGGCTGGCTTTGGTGGTAGACTCTTTCTTAGGAAACCCCCTTTTAACTTCCTTGACTGGGTTGCGTGTGATTCCAGGTACCCCAAGGGCTGGGTTCCAACTGAAGTTAGGGTTGCCCTGTATACAAGCATGGCACCTTGGTGTTGCTTTGAAGATAGGTCCTTCTTGCATATTAATTCTTTTTCTCCATGTGGTGTCTCCTTGGCCCCTGAAACATAGCTCAAAGCTTGGTCTGATTGGGCTGTGAAGTGAAAGACTGGTAGGCAGATGTAGGCCAAACTGTGAAGTAGCTCTAAGGAACATCTCTGTTGTTCCAGTGACATCCCTGTTTATAACTGATATGTTCCCTTTTAACCCTAAAATATGAGTGTCTAACATAAAATGAATATTTTTTTGGGGGGGGGAGGTGTTTTATAGGTTAGACCAGGGGTGGGCAAACTTTTTGACTCGAGGGCCACAATGGGTTCTTAAACTGGACCAGAGGGCCGGAACAAAAGCATGGATGGAGTGTTTGTGTGAACTAATATAAATTCCAAGTAAACAGCATTACATAAAAGGGTACGGTCTTTTTTTTTTTTTTTTTTAGTTTTATTCATTTCAAACGGGCCGTAGTTTGCCCACGGCTGGGTTAGACACAAGCTAAAGGGATGAAGTTTTGAATTTTAGGTATTAGCTAGCTACGAGGAATATGTTGTGTTTGTGGAGGGGAGTGATAAGTGAGAGGCATTCCAGCATCCTTCAGAACTACCCCCTAACTTGAGCTTATGGAGACAGTCTTTCCTACAACGTATTTCAGAGGCCTTGATGTGTTGATTATACCGCGTAGGCCTCTCTTGGTCTTCCTTTCAATTCAGAAATTAGTTTCTGCTGTCACAATAATATGGAATCCTAGGGAGGGAAGCCTCAGAGACCCTAGGGTGCTGGGAATGGCTATGGTTTGTGGGAACTTGGAGGCCCCAGCACTATTGTTCTGCCAGGTTGTCCCCTTGGGTCTGTCGGGAAGTTTGTCTCTGATTCATACAGGAACTAAGTTTTGCAAAGAGGTGGTTTGTGGAATGGGCACAGCTAGAGGATTTGGGGAGAAGTTTTATGCGCAGCCAGGAATCTTATAGGTTTTCCAGTTCCTGTGTATCTTCAGAACACAGGAGTTTACTTGCTCTTAAAACTGCCACTTTTCTAAATCATATTCAACATACCCAGTCAATTTATATGTTCTCTGAAGTTTATATTTTACAATAACACAGCTATTTTTCTTATAACAGTCTCACAATAGCCCTGTTAGAATGTGGGGCAGAAGCTGGGTGAAGAATCTGAATCCTGTGCTCAGTCTTATAGACAGGTTTTCTGATGCTTAAGTTCTAGACCACTTCCATCGTCTCAGGCCCTGCCCTGTTAAATGAGCACTGGGCAAGGCCAAGAGAATGTTATTTTTCTCCAGGTGAATTAGTGAGGCAGGCCTTGGTGACTCTGCAGCAGAGAGTGAAGAAAAGGCCTGTCTTTTTCTACTCTGGAGAGTCTTCTGCAGGGGCGAGAGAATTGGATATTTTCTCTTGTTGGATGTATATGCCCATCTAAAGGCCTGACCCTGCAGGGAAGGCAGGCTCTCTGGTAGCAGGCCCTCTCATTGGGCCATTCCTGTCACCTCCTGGCTCTTTGATGCCTGTACACTGAGCTATGCTAAGTCACTTTCTCATTAAAGATCTATCCTGGCTATGCTGCTCTGGGGCCTGCATTTCTGAAGCTGGCCTGGAACTCATGCTTGGAATCTCCCTTTGGACTCCGGGCTCACTACCTCTAGAAACTCAAAATGTTTTCTGCAGAATGTGTGTGAGGGGTCCCAGGTAAGTCTGGAGTTGTAACTGCTAGTGTTGGAGATATGAGGACCTCTAATCAGGAACTGTGGTTTGACTCAATATAGCTAGAACAGAGCCTCAGAGGACAGACATGTAGGTTGTTTGTGGGGTGCAGTCTGACTTCTCAATAAACCCTGATGGAGTAGGAGGCCAGAGCCATGCCTGCCCACCCAGCTAGTTGCTGTTGCTTCCAAGGCTATAAATGGCTTGGCCATCTTGGTAGCTATGCTAATTTTAGCTGAGGGTGGCTCCCGGAACTGGACTGGAGCCAAGGGCAGGTGGGTGGGGCTTGACTGAGGCTAATATTGGAGGCTGGGGAGAGGGTCACAGTAATCCTGGGGTAGCCAGGACATCATCTGCACCCATGCCTCAGCTTTGACAATCACCTGTAGCTAGGTTAATTTATTTAGCAAACATTGAACAGTGCCAGCTCATGTGCTATTTAAGTGCCTGTTCTGGGCCACGCAATATGTTTGGTGTTGAATTTAAGGCTGAGCAAAACAGACAGGTTCTCTGCCCTCATGAAGTTTACAGTCTAGTGGGGAGATAGGAAATAAATACATAAATAAATATAGTATATTGTGGTAAGTTCCATGGAAGAAAACAAACAGAGTGCTATGATGGAGAATGGAAGGATAGAGATCCAGCTAAAGTAGGAACCCAGTGCCTGGTAAGACTTTAATAACATCAATAATAATAGCAGCAAACATGTTTTAGTACTTACTAAAATAGTTTCGGGCACTATTCCAAACATTTATTCTTCCAGTCATTCTGTGTGCTAGTATTAGCCTCATTTTATAGATAAGGAAATGGAATCATAGGTTAAGTAACTTCTGCCCGAGGTTATACAATATTAGGGAGTAGAACCAGAATTTAAACCCAGGCAGTCTGATTTTTCTCTCTACCTCCCAAACCGCTACGTTATACACTTTCTCAAAACCCTTGTGATAAACTTTGTAATAGAGGTATTGTATATACATAGCGAAGGCTGTGGGAAACCCAGAGGAGCAAGTGACTAACCCTGCCTGGGCTAGCTGGGGGAGGCTTTTCGGTTTCCCTCATAATTTTTCTCAGATCTTGGGGAGCTAAAAAGTAATTGACTAATTCAAAAAAGCTAAGAGGTGGAAACATCAGTTAGTTCCACCCAGTTTTTTTTTTTTTTTAAATACATATGAGGAAATTGATGTCTAAAGAGGCATCAAACAGAAGTTCCATCTGAGTTATTAGAACTAGACTAAGACATTTGAGTCAGGGACCCTGCCTCAATCAGTTATTCAGTCCATAAGCTCATAACTAGTGCTTACTGCTTGCTTTGCACTGTGGAAGGAACTTAGGGCTACCACAGAAATCCAAGTAAAAAACAACCAACAAAAGCAAAGTAAAGAAATAAGAAAAAAAAGATAAGGAAAAAAATAAAGAAGTCTAAATCTGGGATTGGGGTGCAGATATAGGATATTTGTTTAGAGATTATTAAATACAACATAATGCACAGGCTTAATGAAGCTCAAAACCAGGTACTGTAGACTGTAGATTAAGGGTTAAGTGAGTTCTGTGTGGGCTGGGCTAGGCTAAGGTGGTTGGAGAGGGCTTCCTGGCAGGCGGGGTAGGGCACAGGTTGAAGAGAACCAGGAGGGAGTGATTTGATTTGGGGAAGGATGAGGGAAATGTAAGTGTCTTAGATGTCTCTTATCACCACTGTAAGCACCAGGGCGTCTCACTGTTTGGTGGCTGAGTTGCTTCATAGTTGGCCAGCTACCTCGCATGAGGGCGCATAGACAGGAAGATTGCAGTCATGTGTGATCTAGCAGCAGATCTAGTAAGTGCCCTAATTTGGAAGTAATGAGGAGTGTAAATAATATTTTAAGATATCTGAAACAATTGTAATGTGACATGAAAATGACTATAATTTTTATTGGTGACAAAAATCATAGGTACTACTTGTAATATTGTAGTTGGTTGCTTACAATATGTAATTAAAGGAAATGTTAACTTTCAAGAAGAGAATATTGAAAATAAAGATATAATTTCTTTCTCATCCATATTCACAGGTGCCCTTGAATTCTCCCCCATTAGCTCCTTAGGAATGTGGAACCTTCACATTAAGAACTCTGTCTGGCAAGGAAGAGATGGGGTCCTGTGGAGGGGTGTGGTTTCT